CTTGGTCAACCCTAACAGAAAAATAATTAAGGACATAAATGTTATATTAAATAGCTCGTGACACTTTGTATTAGCACTATTCATTATTCTTTTATATACAAACCCATTTTGTCCTTGATTTGGTATGGAAATAGATTTTTTAAATATATAAAAAGTGAAAATTTAAGTACGTGCTTATGGATCCATTTCGATTTTCAAATGAAAGGCTAGATAATAAGAGAAAACAAAAAACCATATCAAATGCATATTTGTGGGGTTTGCGTTAAAAGAAGGCATAATCACATACATAGACAACTGATTGCCACCTAATTACAATAACCCACCAACTAATTCACCAACCCATACCTATGCATTTTCCTTTTATATTATATTTTGTTCAAAACTCGAAAGGGAGAATAAAAACCACCTACGAAAATCAAAACCTACAAAAGCGACATGAAACAAAAAAAAATCTGTGAACATTGAATATGTTAAAATGATTAGCTTAATTTGCGAGTACAAACTATTTTTTGAGTTTTCAGTGGATTTTACCAAGGAGGATGAAAGTCAGAATGGTTTTAGTATTGGCTTCGGTTAGAACCTAACACGTTCTTTTTTTTTTTTTTTTTTTGACAAAAGATAGATATATATATTGAATCAGGCCCAAAAAGAATTACACCCTGGAAAACAGCCAGGTCTGATAATCAAAGACAGAGCTCATAGCCGGGGACAAAGAAAGGGCCTTTCTAGCCACCGAATGGGCTACCCTATTGTTACACCGACCTACAAACCGAACAGCAAACTCGGCCCGGGACATAAAATATCTTACTACCTCTTCAAGAACCGCCCCTGCCTGAGAATCTCTTGTATCTCCCTGATTGATTTTATCAATAATCACCTTGGCATCACCCTCAAACACAACGTTCGTAAATCCGAGCACCAGACACCAGAGAATCGCCGCACGAAGCACTAGTAACTCCACCACCATGGGGCTATCAATTACCGGAATATGGACCCCTTTAACCAAAAGGACCTCGCGAGAGGGAGTCAATATAACCATCCCACCAGCCGAGTGAGAACCACTTCTAATGGCGCCATCCCACATACACACAAACCTACCAGCATCCACTGGAGGCATCTGCGATGACTCCGAAGATGGAAAACCATGCATAACGCCATCAGGCGGCAACCTCATCCATTCCTCAAATTGCTGATGAAACTGGCGCAATAAAGCAGGGATAGCAAACTGCTTACCCTCAAAGACCACCCAATTTCGAGAACGCCAGATCCTCCAAAGGACAGCCACCACTGCCATGAAACGCGGGGGGTCATGGACCAAAGCAAGTAACTTCTTAAGGAAAAGTGGAAAAGTACTCCTAGGCAACCCTTCCCCCAAGTATTCCAATCCCGTATAGTCCCAAAGCGCACGCGCGATCGGGCAATAGAGAAACAAATGTTCCAATGTCTCCGAACTAGTCCAACACACCGGACAACGCGGATGGACCGGGATCTTCCTTTCTATTAGTGCCTCAGCGGTTGGGAGGGCCCTGTTAAAGATCTGCCAGAGAAAAACCTTCAACTTAGGAGGGATATTAGCATCCCATACCCGGATCCAACTCCCCTTATCCATCCAACTTGCCATCATCTGCCATTTACCCCTCCTCCTATCCAGGGACACTGCAAGGTGATAAGCTGACTTAACAGTGAAAACCCCGTCCTTTGTATCATGCCAGATCAATCTATCCTCCACATTCTGACAAGGCAGAGGGATCTCCTTAATTGCTTTACAGGTACCCCGGGTCAAACCATTGATGCAACTTAGATTCATTCCACCTCCCTTCCCCTGGGCTAATGACCTCAGCCACTCTCGGGTCACCCTCCCCGGGCAAAATCTGCGGGTTATAGCACAGGGATTCCATCTGACAACGCGGTATCCATTTGGAATGAAGGAGGGAGGCAGATTTACCATTCCCAATCTGCCAACGCAGGCCTTCCTCCAACAACTGGCGCCCAAACAAAATGCTTTGCCAACCCCACGACGGCCGAGACCGAGGTTTAGCTTGAAGAAAAGTTCCATTGGGGAAATATTTGCCATTGTAAACTTGGGCTAGAAGGGACTGGGGTTCAGCCAGGATGCGCCAACCAATTTTTGCTAAAAGAGCTTGGTTAAAGTGCTCAAATCGGCGGAATCCCATCCCCCCCTCATGTTTACTTCTACACATATTCCGCCAGGACACCCAGCGCACCTTTGAGTTACCCTCCTCTGCGCCCCACCAGAACCTGGCAACATGTTTATCCAGTAGTCGACACAGGGAAAGAGGCAATTTGAAACAGGACATCACGTGCAAGGGCAGAGCCAGAGCAATGGACTTGATTAGAGTCTCTTTGGCTGCCCAAGAAAGCGTCCTTTGCTTCCATCCCTGGAGCCGTTTTAGCAGTTTCTCTTCTAGGTAGCGGAAGGTTGCCATTTTTGATCGTGCAATTAACGTCGGCAATCCCAAATATTTATCGTGGACTCCTACCGCTCCAACCCCCAAAACCGTGGCCAAAAATTCTTGATCCGGCTGCATAATATTCTTACTAAAGCAGACCGCCGATTTCTCCAGATTCACACGCTGGCCACTAAGTTCCTCATAGTCATTCAACACCTCAATCAGGTTTTCACATTCTTGCAATGATCCTCGCAGGAATAAGTAAGAATCATCCGCCAAGAAAAGATGGGAAATCCTAGGAGCACGCGGAGCCACCTTCACCCCTGCCAAACGTTTCTCCGAGACTGCTTTACGAAGAAGAGCCGCAAATCCCTCAGTGCAGAGCACAAATAAGAGAGGGGAAAGAGGATCTCCCTGCCGCAGACCCCGGGAAGGAGTGAAATAACCAGAAGGGGTGCCATTCATTAGAACCGAGAAAGAGGCAGATCGGAGACACTCGTGAATCCAACCCTGCCAGACCGAGCTAAATCCCATCTTATCCAACACTGCCAGAAGAAACGGCCATTCGACTCTATCATAGGCCTTTTCCATATCAACCTTCAGAGCCATGTACCCCTTCTTCCCCCGTGTTTTGATTTTGAGATAATGCATCAGCTCATGCCCAATGAGGATATTATCTATTATCTGCCGCTCACGTATAAACGCATTCTGACCATCGGAGATGATATGCGGTAAGAGGGAGGAGAGCCGCTCAGCCATAATCTTGGTAATAATCTTGTAAACAAATTGGCATAAGCTAATCGGGCGTAATTGCTTCATATGTTCCACATTATCTACCTTGGGAATCAATGTTAGCCAGGTATGATTAAAACTTTTGAGAAGCCTACTCGTTGCAAAAAACGAGCAAACAGCCTCAACCACTGATTCACCAACAATATCCCAGAAGGCCTTAAAAAACTTGCCCGTGAAGCCATCAGATCCAGGAGCTTGAGTCGACCCCATCCTGAAAACTGTTTTCCGAACCTCACTTGGCAAAACTTCGGCCGTTAGACTAGTATTCATCTCAGGTGTGACGCTGCGGGGGATCGGTAAAGCCGCCACCCTCTCCGACACATCTGGGATCATAGTCTCCGAGGTAAATAAATTCTGATAAAATTCTGTGGCAATGGAAGCCTTTTCTTTTTCCTCCGTCACCCACTCACCTCCTGCGTTATGTAGCCCCGTCACAAAATTCCGTTTACGCCGAGTACGCGTCACCGTATGAAAGTACGACGAATTCTTATCTCCTTTCTGGAGCCATCGGACCCTGGATTTCTGCTGCCAATAGATTTCCTCCGCCTCCCATTGGCGCGATAGCTCCATTTCCAGGGTACGAATCGAATCCCAGTCAGTTGGGAAAATTGCTCTGAGACGCTCAATTTCCCCTTGAATAGTTCTAATATTCCGGAGGGAATTCGTGGTTCCTGCCCTGCTCCAGTCATAGAGAAGATGTCTCAGCTTTTTTAGGCGCTCCCATAGACGAAACATAGGGGTACCTTGGATATTCTCCTGCCATACATACTGGACCATGGCCCTGACCTCCGGATTATCCGCCCAGCGAGCGTCAAAGCGGAAGAGAGGTCTGGAATTACGAGCGTATGGCTTATAAGAGAGGAGCAGGGCGCGATGATCAGAACCCTGATCCGTGAAGTGTTTAACCAGGGTCTCAGGAAAAGTATCAATCCAAAACTGGGAGCACAGCGCCCTATCCAGTCTCTCACGAATACACGCAGCCCCCATTCGCTTGTTTGTCCACGTGAACTGGTCACCCTGATAACCTGGATCATGGAGACCCAAGTCCTGGACAAACTCACGAAGGCTAAGAGATTGAGAAGCATTCCAAGCATTCCCCCCATCTTTCTCACCCTCATGAAGGGTAGCATTAAAATCACCTATGACAACATAGGGAAGCATGATCTCATTACAAATCTCTTGTAAGTGGGCCAATTGCATCCCCCTCGTTGCCAAATCACAACTAATGTAAACCGAAACCACAACATAAGAAAGATTAACTTCATTAATCTGAGTGCAAATACAAAAGTTGGAATGGAAAAACACCGAGGCATCAACCCCGGGGGACCAAGCTACAACTAACCCTCCCGATGCATCAACCGCATCAACAAAAAAACAATGAGAATTCTGAAAACCCAAACCCCGCATACGGCGAGCTACTACTTTCCGGCTCGATCGTGTTTCCGAGAAGAACACAAGATCCGGTTTATTCGAATGCACTAAACCCAAAGCAGTTTGGAATGTGAGGGACGGCCCAATTCCTCTCACATTCCAGGCGAGAAGTTTCATTTAACTGGTTGGGGCCACTCCAGGCTGGCTTCCTCCACCTTATCCAAATCATCTTTTTCTTCAACAAACTGTTTTTTGGGAGTTGGGTTTTCCTCCCTCTCCCCTTCCATATCATCAAACTGACGTTTTTTAGCACCAGCCCCTATCTCTGTGAGATTGGTTCCATACTCATTGAGTGGGAGACCCATATTGGCTTCTGAGTCCATTACTGCCGCCTCTATACAAACTTGGGATTGACCCATGCCGCCATCATCCTCTTTCTCCACCATTGCCAAACCACGTTCAAAAGCCTTCACAACTTGGCTGACCCGGGCCGACTTCACCAACCTCTTCAGCACCCCAGAAGCCGACGGGATCCGACGCCGGATCTCAAAAGCTTGGGCCTCTTCTTCATCGTCCGTGAGGGTGTCCTCGGAGCCTAGCGGATCAGCCAAGGGAGCGGTTCTAGGAGAAGGCGGCCGGCCCACCTCAGCTTGCTCTGCCCCATTTCCATCTTGGGCCGGGTCATCAACCAAGGATCCGCCGTGGGTCTGATCGGCAATCCAGGTCTCTCCCTTGGGCCTGCGCAAGCATTTGCCCGAGCAGGCCTTCTCTATTTTTCTTATGGAGCTGGCTTCTGGCTTCAAAGCCTGGGTCGATTGGGCCGACACATTGCCTCTTTTAGGGCCCGGGCGAGCAGGCCCAACAGTCTCCTTTCCTTTCAGCACTCGAGCCTTGCGTGGCTCAGCCTGGAGGGGAGGATTTCGCTTTCCCCCCTGCCCATTCAACGAAATCGGTTGGACAGAGAATTCGTCCTCCGATTCCTCTTCGATGAGAAGACGCCGGCGACGAGTCATTCCTTGAGCTTCCGGCCGAGGAGATTGCTCGAAAGCAGGAACACCCCCGCGCGATGTCGCCTTCGTCCCCCCAGCCTTCAGCCCAATCGTCGGATCCGCCTCTTTTGCATCACGGCCTGGCTTGCCCTGGCGACCTCGTCGACGCGGCGCCGAGATCACTTCCTGGCGGACATCAATTTCCATAGGGCTACCCACCGGCACCGCCTGGCCCCTTCCCCGACGAGCAGCCTTGCCAATGGGGATCTTGGGGGCCTTTTGCACCGGGAAACGGAGAGGACTTCTCCCCGGTTTACCGCGAGGAGCATCTGGCTCAGTCGCAGCAAACGGGTTGTCGGACGACCCCATCCACAAGGGGCTGCTGTCAACCACCATCTTCTTATTCGGGACAGGAGCTCTCCGCGCCACGCCGTCCTCCCGATTATCCATGCGCTTTTCTGGATCCTGTTTGTTTCTAGCAGTAGAGTTGATCCAAACCGAGTTGTGATGACCAGGAAATCGTTGGTCAGGTTCCTCCGCATCGAAAATTTTCCTTCCCATTTTCTTGGTCATCATGTGAGGACCAAAGCGCTCCTTTCGTGATGGCGGATCAAACGTACACTTCTGACGAAAGTGTCCCACCCGACCACAGTTGTAGCAGAAGCTGGGGAGGTGTTCATACTTGAATCGGATCCAAAACGAACCCGTTTCTTCATTCGATGCCCAAATTTGGGACCGGAGCGGCTTGGAAAAATCGATGAGGGCCTTAACCTTGATGAAGGTGCTAGCCGATTCCGTACAGGAGAAGATGCCAGATTCGAGAACCCTGCCAATGGTGGAATTCGCCACCTTTCGTCCAAACTGTTGGGTGCAGCATTCTTCCTGCACATCCCACATTTGGACACGAAATGGCGCAATCGCCATTTCTTCGACAGTACGAGCAGAAATATTCGGCGTCCATGCACGCAGATGAAGGATTCTATCCTTGATCACCCATGGGGTACGTTGGAGTACCCAGTTCTTCGCTGCTTCAGTCGGGAGAACGAATTCATACAACCCGTGGGCCGCCTCCCGCACTCTGATTCTTCCTTGGCCTTGCCAGGGGTTATTGGTCGCCTCCCGGAGTTCTGTTAGTGTCAACCGATCCTCCGAGAAAACCCGGCCCAGCAGCATTCTCGATTTGCTAGCCCGATTGGCTTGGATCTCTGTCAGTGTGAATTCCACAACCTGGTCCCTGGAGATATGCGCCATCGAACTCATCTGCAACATAGGAGGAGAGGACAGGTTCTCAAGAAAAATCACATCTGAATCATGACCCACTGGATTCCATGGGTAGCACGAGAATTTAAAGTGGATATTTCTAAGCGGGTTAACATCATCCCATAAACTTAGAAGAATATCCGAGCACAGGAAGAGCCACCTACCAGAATATTTTTCCCTTGTAGAAAGCTGGGCGCCACTGCTATGCACCCACCCGTCTTGTCGAAAATGGTGAGGAATAGGAGTAGGAGTTGCCGGTCGCCTTAAGTAGGCAGGGGGTGCTAACAAGCCCCACTGTAACGGGAATTCTATCTGGAGAGGGGAACTCCTTAAATTCAAATTTAAAAGCCGGTTAGGAGATATCCTTAACCGCATAAAGATACAGCGGATCTCATTATCCCCACAGCCGTTATTCCTTGCCGAGGAAAGCGCAAATCCACTAAAACTTCGATTGCCGGTCGTTAGTCCTGGCCGCGAATGTTTCGGGCAGAGGGTCGGCCGGGAATCGCCTAGCTTCCGCCGCATCAATGGCGGCCGTCTTCGGTCACAAAAAACTTGCGCCGCGATACCACCACTCATCCATGTCGATCTCGCCTCACCGCGGGGTCTGAGATCCGAACTCGCCCCATTTCGGGGTCTAAGCTCTAATCGTCGGTCACAAAGAATTTGCGCCGAGATACCACCACACATCCATGTCGATCTCGCCTCAGTACGGGGTCTGAGATCCGAGCTCGCCCCATTTCGGGATCTAAGCTCTAAGCAAGGGTCATCCGGATTTAGATCCAGCTTATCCCCAGCAGCCTTGCTCTCTTTGTTTTGATTCCCAACATTTTGAACATCCTGTGAATCCAGATCAGCCTCCTCCGGCGACGGCAAGTAAAACCGCCACAGTACCCGCAAGGATTTGCGTACTCGTTTGGGCTGCAGGGGTTCCAGGACGATTTCTGGGCAGGTCGATTGCCTACCCTTTCTCTTCCCAATCCTGCCCGGACTGGCCTCCCCCCGAGGGGGATGAAAAACTAGTACAGGCTTTGGCCATACTTTGCTCGGTAACATCACCGGACTTCTTTGTCGCGTTCCCTTCATCTGCTTGCGGAAAGGCGCCCATCGCCATCGTTTCTCTTGATTGGTCAGGGCCAACTTGAAAATCACCACCGCGGAATATCGAAGGATTTCGCCGGCCGCTTGACAAAGGTGGAGAAAGAATGTTAACCAGTGCCTGAGGAGAGAGGAGAGAGCACCTAGCGCGTCCATTTTTTTTTTTTTTTGCAACCCCCGGGTTGAGTTAAGTTTGCCTGACGGGTGGCCACCTAACACGTTCTAATTAACTAAACATTAAAATAAGCATCATTAGCAATTTACTAGCTAGATATTGCCTAATCAACTTTGTTTTTAGTGCTTAGGTTCTACATATATGCTAGTTTAATGTGGATAATAATATATAAATGAAGGGCCAAGTTTTACAAAAATGCACTCAACCAACTAAAATTTTCTTGGTTGAAGCAAAGTGCATAAACATTGTAAAGCTCGTAGGGCAGATATGGGCAATTTTTTTTAGATAAGGGTGATATAGGTTATTTTTTGTGATTAGGTACTACTGAAGGGATTCGAACCTGGAACCTCCAAGTTCAAGTCTGGTGGTATTACCACTAGGATATGTCTATGATGATCTGGTCTAAAATTTACATCGAGTCTAGTTGATAAATTAGATTGACCGGTCGATCCATATTATTTGATCGGTATCAATAAAATTTAACATATACCTCTACTAACCTACTATGCATTTTGGAGAAAAATATTGATGACCACAAATAGTTTTATCCGTGAAAATTACTAGGTTAAATTGTTTAGATACTCAGTCATATAACTCAGGTTGAGGACTAAGTCAAATTTAGAGTGAGTAGTAGGTATGACAATGGGGAAGATCGGGACGAGTATCTCGACACCACACTTATTCCCTGGCAATTTTGGGTGATTTATCCAGCGAAGTTTGTCGGGACATGTCCAGTTATATGAGTAAGTAATTTAATACATATGAAAACATTACAATTATTCAATTTTGTTAACAAAAATCAAGAAACAAACTTTAACATGATAAATGTAGTTAAATTATTCGAGAAATTGAGGTTATCGCCCATTTACAATTTTACTAACTAAAGTACGAGGTAATAAAACAAATTCCTCTGTAATAAGAGTAAAATTATATGTAATTTAAGAAAAATTGGTTGAGAATAAGACAGGTTAGACAGATCAAGTAGAAAAGAATGCTCATAAGTATCCGCTTCACCCCATCAATAGAACTGGTATTATCCGTCCCAAAACAATTCGAACGAATCGAGTAAAATGAATATGATCGATATTGTTATTCTTGTATAGTGATCAAGCTCAAAAATAAAAACGTACGTACAATAGCTTCCAAAATCGAAATTGAATGTCGGAGGAAAGAAGAAGACACACTTTGTTGGAGTGGGAGTTAGCAAGCTTTGTTGGACCTTCTAAGTTTGAGAATCCCCACTTGCTGTTGAAACCAATGTATAGAAGAAATAAACAAATTAAAGGCCTGAATCCGATCACCGAGCTAGCTAGCTAGCTAGCTAGCTAGGGTGGACAAACGGCCCATGTTTTCGAGACAAAGTCGAGAGGTTTAATAAAGACCGTATATATACAGGGAAACAAGAAAAACATGGACAGCCTTTCGATCGTCGTCTCCCATGCAACAACCTTCTTTCTTATTGCTTCTTCTTCCTCTTGTTTCCTTCTTCCCATTTCCCCAATCTGCCATCACACACTTATTAATATATAACTTGGTATATTATTGTTAAATAGTTTCTTCATTTAATATTTAGTGTAGTACAAATTTTCAAATGTTTATTTGTCAACTATACATGCATAGGAGAAAGGTAGAGCTTATAACTAGTGATAGGTTAGGAGTAAGGGAATAAATGAACATTGTTTGTTGATATCTAGCTTCATTTTATTAGCTTGTTTTTCTTTTCCAATGTGAAAAAACACTAGCTTCTGATTTACAAAGGGGTCGTTTGAAAGTTGCGATAGTTTTGTTGAGATTGTCATTATGCATGTATTGTTTACAATGCATCGTTTTTTTGTTTTTTTAACAGAAACAATACATGGATTATTTCTGTGATGTGACAGAAACTATCACTCATTTTGAGTGATTGTTATATCTCAACTTTTAGTTGTGATTGTTGAGATAGTTGAGTTGAGATTGTTTTGTCTCAGCTTTTAGTTGATGCGACATACACAATCACACATACCAAACGTTGTATTCTACAATGCATCAAATTCGACAATACATGTATAATATTATACATGCATTCTCAACAATACATCTATTTAACAATCGCAACTTCCAAACGACAATGGTGTGGTGCATATAATCAACTTTGACAACTCAAAATTAAAGGTGTACTTATTCAATATCAACAACAGATAAACTTTCATCAAACCATAACTAAATGATAAATAAATAAAAAACTTTAAATCAACCAGCAGGGACGAGGAAGCATATATAATAGGGTGTCTCATCATGACGAAAATGGATAGATTAGGTATAATAGTTAATCAAGAATGAAAATCATGGCCAGTTTAATTGAAAATGATTGACCGATCGAGATGTGTTGTGTTCGAATCACGATGACCGCCATTTGCTAAGCACGTGGCAGGTATTCAAATTTATGTAACCTCCAAGCCCATTTGTTGAGCACGTTTTAATAAATGGTATGAGATCCATTATATGGAACATCTCATCGACAACTTGAGTTATTAATATTAAACGATTCTCGATAATGAACATAATTCGAAAGCGAACAATGAGCGAAATCATGAATACCTATTTGGTATATGAAGAGTGACATTTTTAATAGTTTACACCCACATTAAACGAAATCCTGACTTAGACAATGCCTTATTAAGTTATTATAAAAAAAAATTAAAAGAATTGGAAGAAATTAAAAAGGGAAGGGGAGGGGCAGAAGGAAAGGCGAAGCCGACAAAGAGACCTCCGTCCCGGGAAAAACGGAGGGAGTACTGTACTGTGAAACAAACACAACACTTCTAAGCACAACCACGTTCTTCCCTTTTCCTTTGTGTGTTTGTGTGTTTGTGGGCTCCTTTCTTCACATGCCTCCATGTGAATTTTACACCAAATCCCTATCGATCGATCACCTTCCATGCCCACACCCATCCCCTCTCTCTCTTAATTAATCCTCTCCTTAATTACATTGATTAATCACAATCAAGACCCCACTCCCTCGCTCTAATCCTATCTTTACTCTTCTAATCAACCCCCCTCTAGCTAATTACACCTTCCCCTACTCGCACTCCCCATTCGTGAGCTGTTTAATAGTCTCTTTTGAATGCTTCCACTTAGGAGGAGATTAATTATTGTTTAATCTAATGGTTAGGACTTAGGAGGATACATGAAGTAACAAGTGCATTGTGTTTGAGCTGGCTTTTCCTTGGAGTTGTTTTTCTTTCTTCATAGATAGTGGTAACAAATAGATAGAGAACAAAAAGCAACGAAACGTGGCAGTCAATACTAATTGATTTGTCGATGAAAGAGCTATTTTAGTCACTAAATGGGCAGTTAATACTATTTCGACAGAGGATGATGAATTGGGTTTTCTTTTATTTTGATGATTTGAAAAGGTAAGGGGTGTCTTGAAAACATGAAGAATCGGTTGATCTCAATAGTAAATGTTGTTGGGAGAGGTTAAAGATTTAATCGTATGTTGTTCTTTACACGTCTGCCTCCTCGTATAAAAGCCAAGTCATGAGATGTTAAGATTGCATACGCTCGCCATGCTATGCCAAAACCCTTTAGTTTTGATAATGTGCATATCAAGACCCATTTGATATCAATATTCTGAGTTGTAGGGGTAGCTACCAAAGATGGATTTTCATAACGTTCGTTTATAGTCTTGAAGGAGAGCTTGGTGGGGAACTACAAGATTCGAATATAAGACATTTTTCGAATGATTCAAGACCTTCAAGATTACAACTATGTTGGCATTGGCCCATCAAGTTAAGACTAATGTAATGATCTTCCAATTTTATTAAGTATTAAAAAAATTCGTTCATTGTTGGGTCCAAAACTCAACTTAGAGTGTGGTAGATGTGCATTATCACTAGGCCAACATCTTGGGTTTATTAAGTACATGAAATTATGATCCATGTATTGAGTAATATTCCCCTTGGAATACAACTAAACCCTCTAGTACTTAATTAGATTAAACAAAACAATGGTCATAGGTCCATAAACAAAACAAAAATCATTGACTTGCTGCAATGGATGGGTCGTCTAAAAAGTATAATTTAGTGGGAAACACCATATATACCATTTAGTAAGAATATTTTACACCATCCTCCATATGTCGCATAAATATAATTGGAAAAACAATGACAGATTAACCTATAAAATCATCTATTGGCACTTATCATGCTAAACGAGAAAAAAAAAAGTGAATAAGTAAGAAATGAATAGTTTTGGTATCTTAACACGAGCCGCCAGCACTACACAGCAGAACTTTCTGCGCTGGTGCGCTGCTTACTTGTAGTTCTTTCGAGTTTCAATCTCTATGCATTGCACTTAGCACGCCACAACAACACGTAGTCTAATCTTTAGTTCACAAAGACCATGCATCCATCTTGTTTAGTTCAAGGCTATTGTTTTCCAATCTCATTTTTAATTTGACAATACTAAACCTGGGGTCATCCAATGGGGCTTCGCCCCCAGCAGCCTTGTACCTCCGGTAACATCAATGAGCCTCGCTTTAATTCGAACCTGGAATCTACAACTCCCAAATCTTCACTATCGCGACAACTTTACCGCTAAACTATCTTACCTTTGATAATTAGCCTTACCGATTCAATACCTCAACCGTCCCAAAGTCCCAAACAATTCGTAAAAAAAAAAAAAAAAAAACCCAAGTCCATCTCTTAACTGAAACAAGTACCCATCAATTCTCCACGTTAGTTTGAATCGCGAGAGAGGCGCGTGGACCTAACTTCCACAATTTCCTTCCACCCCACACTGGTCAGATCTGAAGCGGGACCCACGCCAGCAAGCTCCACCGTCCGATCCAACCTAATTCCGATCTCAACGGCGCAAAACCTTCACGAACTCGCCACTGTAACGGCTGCTGCTATCTAGGGCTAGACACGAGATTTGGAATCCCCCCATACCCCCATTAAAATATTAGCATTAAAAATAAATTAAAAATAACAGAAAAGAA